CACGCTCGGCACGACCGTTTTGTTGGGAGGTGTATGGACATCTAAGGCGGAAAACAGTGCCATGAGTGGATAGAAGATGTCGAATGGCGAGATTATCAAATTCTTTTCCGTTATCCGTTTGAAGGTGAGCAATGGTGCGATGAAAGTGGGTGTGGACGTAAGCATAAAAGTAGTGGAGAGTGGAGGCGACATCGTATTTACGGCGTATCAGAAAAGTCCAAGTGAAGTGAGAAAAATCATCTAAAATCACAAGATAATATGATAAGCCCGAATTACTAGGCACTAGAGATGTCCAAACATCACAATGAATAACATCAAAAGGAAAAGTGGCTATTGATGTAGACGAAGGAAATGGCAAGCGCACGTGTTTTCCTATGCGGCAAGCATGACATGTATGAGCCGCCGATTTATTACATTAAAAATAAAAGGTGCTCAAAATTTTGTGAAGAGCGTCGGCGCCGGGATGACCAAGTCGAGCATGCCAAAGCGAGACATCGGCATGAAGAGCAACCGGGCCGCCACTCGTCGTAGGACCACATGGGTAGAGATCATCGGGGGAATCACATCGGTGCAGAACCCTCCGGGAACGAGCATCCTTGACAGAGAAACCAAGAGCGTCAAACTCAACAGTGACATGATTTTCACGAGTAAGGGTTTTAACATAGCATAGGTTTTTGATTAAGGACGGTGAAACAAGCACATTATTGAGAGTAAGAGACGAAGAGGGAAATGGAAGAGAGGATGAACCGTGATGAGTGATGGGAAGAGATGAGCCATCACCCACCATGATGCGAGAATTGAAGGGATAGGGAGAGGCATGGGAGAGGATACCGGGGTTGGAGGCCATGTGAGCAGCGGCGCCGGTGTCCATGTACCAATCGCCGCCTCCGTTGTAGGTGCTCGGCGAGGGTGCAGCATGAAGGGCGGAGAGGAGCGCCGGGTCGTAGACCGGAGGGGCGCCACCATATGCGCCGTAGCCTGGGGGACCGCCGTAGGCCGAGGAGCCACTGTAGGCCGTGGCGTTGCCGTACGCCGCGGGAGCAACGCGGTCAGCAGGGCCTCATGAGAAGACGGTCGTGGCCCGAGGATGCCTAGAGCGGGAGGACGGGGAACGGGCATGGAGTAAGCATGCATAACGCCCGTCCAGGGATTGTACCCCGAGAGCCACGACCGAGGAGGAGCGGCCATGGTTGCCGCGGGAGGGCACTGCGTCGTGTTGGCGTTGCGGCCCCGACCCCCGCGACCCTTCTGCTTGTGGCCACCAGCGGGCGCGGGTGGCGGGGTCGGAGGAGGCGCGCGCGGCGCTGGCAGAGTTGGCGGAGCGTCGTGGCCAGCGGGGAGGCCGACGTAGAGGGCGGAGTGGGTCGCCTGCCGGGCGGTGTGACGAAGACGCTTCTCCTCCATGCGAACGTATGTGACCGCCTTCGCGTACGTCGGCGTGACGAGGGAGAGGTTGACGACGGACTGGCCAAGGTCGGGGTGGAGGCCGCGGAGGAGGTTGGTGAGGAGGACAGAGTCGTCGATGGTCATACCGACGTCGTGCAGCTCGTCGGCGAGGACCTTCAGCCGCTTGCAGTACTCATCGATCAAAAGATCGTTTTGCTGCATAGTGAAGAACTCCCCTTGAAGAAAGATGCAGCGTTGGAGTTGATTGTCGAGGAAGAGATCACACAGGCGCGTCCACATAGCATACGCCGACGGGTCACGGCCGTTCACCATGTTGAAGAGGCCGCCAGAGATGGTGAGGAAGAGCCACTTGACGATGCAAGCGTCCACAGCAAGCCACTCGTCGTCGTCCTTCATGTCGTGGAAGTCAACGCTCCCGTCAACATGCTCGATGAGACAGTAAGAGCGAAACAACAGCGCGAAGTAGGCGCGCCATGCGTTGTAGGATGACGAGTCGAGGTCGAGGATGACGGGTACGTGGTCTTTGATGTGAAGCTCTTTGAGGCGGTCGGAGGTGAACATGGCACCGGTAAAAGAACCGGCGTCGGAGGCATCGACCTTGGTCATGATGGCGTCGGGTGGTTAGGGTTTGGGTGGTGTTGGAGGGAGGAACGCGACTACATGAGAAAGATGGTAGCGGCGGCGGCTTTAGGGTTTTGGGGAGAAGGTGGCGGCAATCAGTAAGAAGAAGGGAAGCGGCGGCGGCTACGGGAGAGGTGGCAGCGGCGGCAGCGGCTTGAGGGGTTTGGGGAGGAGGTAGGCGGCGGCGGTGGCTACGGGAGAGGTAGCGACGGCGGCGGCGGTAGGTTTTGGAGTTGGCGGCAGCGGCGGCTACGAGAAGGTGCGGCGGCTGCGGGGTGCGGAAGCGAGAGAAGATCGCGGTAAAACTGATACCATGTAGAGAGAATATTTGGTGCAACTCAATTGTATTCCAGGAAGTCGGTCACAATATATACACAGGATATCTTGCGTGACAAGGAAACTAATCCTACCATATCTCTAGGAGTCAACTATACAAGGCTAGATGATGCGAACTTCGACAGAAAAACGACGGCGCAAATAATTTTCTCAATCTTTCACGATACGATGTCACCAAGAACGATGTGGCGCTCGCGATCTTATAACTGCAATCACCACAAAAACAACACGCACACCCAAGAAAGAAAGTACGTGGACGATCCTCCACAGATCAGCAGCAAACTAGAGACGGTGTCTCTAACCCCTCGCCAAAAACACAAAG